TTATGTAAGATTTCGAATGCAACGCGCACGCATTTTATTTTAATTATTTTTCACAATTTTTTAATTTTTTTACACATGCGAGCGACTTGATTTGCAAATGAGCGAATTTTAATATTTTTTTTTTATTTTTTATTTTATTTTATTGTATATTTTTATTATTCCTTTTTTGTTGTTTGTATTTTTTTATTTCTTATTAATTTATTTTTTTCAACATTTTTTTTGACACGCATGCGCGCCTTGAGTTGCAAATGCGTGAAAATATTTATTTTTTATTTAATCATTCTTTTTTATATTATTTATTTATATTTCATTATTTTTTTATTGTTGTTGATTTTATTTTAACTTTTTTCACATTTTTTTATGGTACGCATGCGCGGTGAATTTTTATATTTTTTTATTTCATATTTATTTTTTAAATTAATTTTTTTTCAACATTTTTTTGATTATTAGTTATTTATTTTTTTTTTTCTTTTTTAAATTTTTATTTTTTTATTTTTTTGCAAGTGGGCGAATTTTAAATTATTTATTTTTTTATTTAATTTTAATTTTTTCTCAGTTTTAATTTATTTTTTCTATTATTTTTTTTTGTTATTTATTTTTTTATTCTCTTATATTTTTTATTTATTTATATTTTTTATTGTTGTTGATTTCATCCTCATCCTCAATTTTTTTTGGTATGCATGGGCTCCACTTAACTTGCAAGTTAGTGAATTTTAAAATATTAATTATTTTTTTTTTAATTTTTTTATTTTATTTTTTGTATTGTTTTTTAATTTTTCGTATTGTTTTTTTTTTTTTAATACAATATTTATTTTTTTATTATTTCTATTTTTTTATATAACACATGCAGTTCAACTGTCACGCTACTACATTGACAGGCGCGCAATCTGTCAAAAAAGCGCATGCATATGTATGTATGTAGATACAAGCACAGTAGTATGCGCATACGAATTGCAGCAACTAAACAAAAACAGACTTGCTGACACTGCTAAAGCTTACAAGCCGGCGGTCAGCCACCATTCGCCAGCCGTTCACCGCATGTATCCATGATGTTGTTTTTGGCATTCCTGGGATTGCTTACTTTTTATTTAAATTTTTATTATTTTTTTCCTTTTGTTTTTGTTGCACTTGACGTATATATACGAGTATTTTTGGCTATTGGTCGTAGCTCACAACAGACTTACAAGTCGTATGTATGTACATATATACACACACACTTGGTTTTTGGTTTTGTGCGGCTCCACACAGGGGCAGTTCGTTGACTGTGCATGCAGAATTCCCTTAGATTTGCGGTTTTGCTACTATTTTAATTATTATTATTTTCTCTTTTTTTTTTTGATTACACGCAAGTGCATATTCGCACAATTTTATATACATACATTACGATTTAGATGAAATGAGTTTAATTTTAATTTTAAGCAGCAAGAATTTTGATTTATACACACATTTCACTTTGGTAACAATCAAGCCATAATTCAAATTATCAACATGTTATTAGACATAAATTTGTGATTATTGCAATAAAATATGTATGTGATTGTAATCACCTTTTTATCTTTACAGGCACAAGCAACCTCGTTTTTTTTTTTAATTCACATAAGCACTTTTAACTAGTTGTTATACATATGTATGTGCATACATACGAGTATAAAGAATTTTTATTGATTTTTTGTTGTTTAAAGGTGCAAAGGAATTGGCAAAAAAAATATATAAATAAAAAATTAAAGTAATATAAAAAAATATATATAATAAATGCAAACAAGCATTAAAAAACAAGAACGAAAAAAATAAAAGACAAAAGTATAAAAATACAAAGCAAGAAACTGAAATTAGTGTTAAAAAAAAAACAAAAACAAAAAAAGAATAAACTTTATATTCAATGTAGACGCGTTTGAAAAAAAAACATTATTATTCCGCCGCTCGATCACAAGACACGACGTTAGATTTTATTTGTTGTACATATTTAATTTTGAAGCACCTCTCCAATTATTTAACTCATACATTTCGTTGTTTTTTTTTTTTTTGTTTCTTCGCTAACACAACAGTTGGTCGTTCGAACCATAACTCGCCACTAGTTTGGACACTTCTTTTCTATTCTTTTCGCACAACTAATGTTTGTTTTTGTTTGATACTAAATTTTTATTTTTTATTTCTTGATTATTGATAATCACCTTTAATTACAGATTCATTCGCTGGTTTAACCGCGCACAATTCACTTATTTTGCCGTTTCGCTAAGTTCGCGTGACCGTCACAACATGTGTGTATCGAGTTCAACAGTCGTCAACTAACTGCTCGTTCGGCACTAACAATTTCGCTGATCACTGTTGAGTATTGGAGCTGGAGCTGAACTGAATGCTGGCTGATTTTTTGTTGTTGCTTGTTGTTTGGTTATCGGCGGACTATCATTGCTGCTGATGTTAATGCAAACGTAATAATATTCGATATGTATATATGTATGTGCATACGTAAGCCAGCTGATATGTGTTGTCTGATCGACATTTCGGAAGTTGGCTAAAAGCAACGTATAAGCCGGTAAATTGAGTGACCAGACGATATTGCTGAGTTAAGCGCAGAAATTGTTTTTAAACGTCGTTTACAGAGACGTCGTTTAACACCCTCGCCCTGTGTGGAGGATTTCAACTACTGCAAACGGGAAACTCATGCTGCATCCAGCGACCGGCGTAATGCACGTGTAACTACGAACGGGCTACTGTGGCAGGTTTCAGTTGTTTGCACTGACATTTTGACATTCCCAACGACGAAGAGCTAAAAGCTTTTTCAGCAGACCAATCAGACGTAAAACTGTTTGGCACCTAAAAAGCTAGGATCCGCTATTCATGCTTTTCATGCTTCTCATATCCTTTCATCTGATGGTTCGCAATAGTTTGAATAACTAGGCTTCATAGAACTTCCATTAGATAAATTTGAGAACATAGCATATTCTTTCCAGCCTCTAAGCAGGCATTGCCGTCCGCAATAGGCGAGTGTTTAGCAGTTGTTTGAATTCTGGGCAACTCTATATTCAAAAATTCTCCAAAAAATTTAAATTTTGGTGGTTCCTCTGTGGGGAATGTTATGAAATAACTGCTCCTTAAAGAAATTCAATAGCTGTTCGGCGGCAACTCATAATAAATTAAGAGCCCCTCCTCTTGGGTTTGATAAGAATCAAGACTCATATCACAAATTGAAGGCGGAGGAGCTCGAACAAAAATCGTTGCAGCGTTTAAAAAATCTTCTAATTAGATCCTGATAAATCGAACTTCAACGTATTGTTGATGAATATTAATTCGGCAGGATTAAAACGATATTCCGTTCATTTATACTAATTTAGTGAAAGGTCACATGTACAGAACTGGTCACCTTAACTTTGGTATGAAGCACAGTAAAATACATTAATATCTACTCTTATGTACTCTTTAAGTGCTATGAGACGAATTCATTCGTATGAATTCACATCCGAAGATCTGCGGTGGTTGCGGCCCCATGCAGAAATATAAAAATATTCATACATATATTACATACGAGTACATACGTACATACATACATACATACCTGTGTCTTCGAGTCATCCAAGTGCTTTCTCACATGCATATGATCTACTCAACTTGTTTCAACCCCCCTCCGGAACACGGCGAAATGGGGAAGTGCACGCACAGCGGCAGATTTGTAGCATTTTTTTTTATAAACACAAAATGCCGCCGTAAAAATAAAAATATGATATTATGGCAAAATAAATTGAAAGCGAAATGTTTCCTTTGACTACACACAGCACACAGCACAAACTTGGAAACGAAATATGCATATACGTACATATGTATGTATCACTGCACTTTAGTTGTTGCTTTGGCTCATTACTGAGTAGTGGATTTAATTTTTTTCCAATATTCCACACTTTAAAGTTGTTAACCTTTTCAAGGACCAGCAATTGTGAAGGTGAAGGTGGTAACAAAAAAAACTTTAACATTCGTTCGTCCGGTTAGTTGGCGCGCTATCACTATACCGACTTTTAAGAAACGCCAACGCGTATAATAACTGCTTTGTAAAACGAGTTCCGGTTATTTTTCTGAGGATTTCGTGCAGCGATTATATGCGCATTGTGTAACACCTTTAAGAAGCGGCAGCCGGCTAAATTTATTTTTATTACTGTTGTTGTGAGATAAATGCAGTCGTTTTAAGCTAAACAATAAATAAGTTTGAATTAAATTCTTTAGTTTATCACTATATTTTGTAATAGATTTTCTTAATAACTGTTATTGTGGCTATACACTATGCGTCGAGTTTATTTTTCATTATCTGTCTTCTTCATTCGCCGGAGGAAATGTCAAAATAGCCGAGACATAAGCCACACGGAAGCAAGTTGAGCTACCAGATGTGCGGAAATTATTATTGAACCCTTTTTCTAATGGGTAATTGCCCATATTCTACAGATTCGATCAATGGATTGTTAAAAAAAAAACAAGAATTACCGCATTAGTCGCACAGCTTCTTTTTTGTAAAGGACTTACTCAAAATTTAAGTTTCAGTTCCAAGAAACTATGACCAGTTAGCGCAAGCTAGATCATCTTCGCCATCCCGTATAATATGCAAACATCCGGGTATTAGCCTCAAGCTGTTCATGTCCTACAAGCCTTTGCGTTTCATCTTAACGCTGCAATTTGCTTTTTGATCGATTGTATATTTCCAGTTCATGTATTTGTCTACCTCCTAACTCTTCTTTACCTATTCTATTTCCCGTTCCTCTGCTGGTTTATGTCTTTAGCTGTTATTTATCTTCGCTAGCCCTTGATTTGAATCATTGTCTATAAAATCGAAGATAAGTTGTGTAGGGAGTTATTTAGTTAGCTCGTTTTTAATTAGAAGAATTTGGAAAATTATCGTAGTTAATTCAAAAAATCGGTTCTGTATTATTCGTCGCTTATATAATATCTGCAATTTAAAACTTTACATCTTGTGGCAACTCCTTTTATTTTTTCTAATTATTTTCTGGTTCATCTTTTTCCCAATTGCCTTCAAAACATCTTGCAATCTGGCAGCTTTTTAGCAGAGAACCAAAGATAGAAAAAACAAAAAGGGCTAGGACAAAAAGTGTGAAAATTTCGTGAAAATTTTATTTCCAGTGCTCTTAACAAACATATATTGCATTGTGTAATTGGTAATTGTTATACTCAATGATCCTAATGATTACAAAATGAAACTAACAATTAAATCTTGGACTGGAGTAGCTACATGGCGATGGATCGCAAATGATGAAAACTGCGGCATTTGTCGAATGTCTTTCGAGAGTAAGCGCCGGAGCACCACTTAATTTAAAAACATTTTGTATACTACATGTAAATAAATTAATAAAAATATGTTTTAATAATAATATAGGTACCTGTCCGGAGTGTTCGCTACCTGGTGACGATTGTCCTTTAGTGTGGGGTGTGTGTTCGCATTGCTTTCATATGCATTGTATTGTCAAGTGGCTGAATTTGCAAACAATGAATAAGCAGTGCCCTATGTGCCGCCAAAGCTGGAAATTCAATATCCATTGAATACAAGGGACACATAGTGTGTTGCAAAAATAATAATAAAGTCAAAATAAGTACTACATAAACTGCGAGTTTTGCGCGTGTTATTAAAAATCTACGATACAGTTTTTTTTAGATATTAGCTTCGAAAAAAAAAAATATACATTAATGAGATTAGCAAAGGAACGTTCCCGTGAACGTGAAATGGATAGCGAATTGAATAAATTATCATTACCGGGTTTGCCGCCACTGCCAAAAAGTTTAAGCACAGCAGCTGCAGGTGTTTCATCGGCAGCGTCGTCTGCAACGCATTCGAACACTGCATCGCCGTTAAACCATCATCACCATCATGCGTTACACGGTGTCGAGAGTGTGGAACTATTTTTGGGTCCTTCCACTTCAGCGGCAGCCAATACGCGTAATCACTATCGACACGGTAGCTTATCGTCGACACAAGAATCTTTAAGTGACCGTGAAAGTATACACAGTCGTGCATCTTCTTCACATAGTAGCCACCACACGCCCACAAATACACACACTGACAACGGCGGGACATCCTTATCAATTGGTGGTCTTAGCGGCAGCGGTAGCAGCACAAGCACTACACTAGACACACAATTAGCTATATTGCGACGCGAAATGTATGGCCTACGACAATTAGATCTTTCGTTACTCTCACAATTATGGGCGCTCAACGAATCGATTCAAGGTTTTCGTGTATTCTTACAAGAACAGGAAGCGCTCTCACCGCCATCTCCTTCCCCAACGCCATCTGACACGAATTCCCTTACATCAGAGGCCGAAGAGGAATCATACTCAGCGCAACCACCACTAAAATTACCACATCCCATCGCTGTACAAGCAGCCTTACCGCCTGGTGGTTCGACCACATCACACGCATCAACGAGTTCAGCGTCCGGCACATCGGGCTCCTCATCGGCTACCTCTTCGATGGGCAAACATGGTGGCATGCCTTTGCCACCAGCACCACAAAAGACACATCCACAGCTGCCGCGTATATTGCAGCAACGTATGCGCCGTGCACCGCCGCCACCACCGCCAACAACAGCACGACCCAAATTGACAACGGCAACCAATGGTGCCACAACGACACCACTGCCACAAAGACCGGCATGACAAAACCCATTCTTGGATTAAACAAAAAAACGATGAAAAAAATTGTTTAATTCAAGAATGTTGAGGCAACAAGAGTAGGAAAATATTTCGAAATTTGAAGTAAATGCTGAGATGGAACTTGAAAAGACAAATGTTGTCAATTATATGTTGCGATTGTGTTGGCGTGTTGTTCTTAGAACAGCTATAACGTGAATGCTGACGCGCAATCATGAATAAATAATCAAAAAATATTCAGTGGATTTTCGCAAATGCCATTTCGAGAACTTTTGTAGTGTAGTTTAAAGAAACTGCTTGAATAACGGTTAATATTTTGCGGTTATGTTTTACTTAGTGCGTTTCACATGCACTCATTTGTATGTTCATATGTCAAATGTCTAGTATATAAGAAAGGCGCATGCTAATCAAAAAACAAACAAAATATTAATAAAAAAAAACATTGTATTTGCAAAAGTGTCGAAATGTGTACGCATTCCAAAAATATTGCTGTTGAAGGATTAAACATACAACATATTGAATATCAAAAACTTTAGATATACAAGAATAATTTGTTAATCTGATATTAGTATTAACATAATTGTTTAAATGTATACACCCGTGTACATGCATCCAAACATAAACGTGAACATACACAGACACTCACATATACACATTTTCATTTGTAACCTACACATGCATCCTAATGTTCATATTGTACGACATTGAGAAAAGATTTTCGAAAAAAGTAGGCTCGGTACAGAAAGAAGGGCCTCTAACGGTCTACGACGTCAGGAGTACGAAATTATAAATATATACATAGTTGTTAGGAACTACAACAAAGAACAAACGATCTTAGCTGATTTTTAGCCCAATACATACCAATAAACCGAAAGCGAAGTAGCATTAGACGTTCAATTCATATACGGAAATTGCAATCAATTATTAATTACATACATATATACATATAATGAACAAATAATAAGCAACATAAATACATGCATAAATACATTTATATGGCGAATTACATCGATCTAAATATAATTAAATTAATTTATAAAACACATAATAATTAAAAACTGCGATTCGAAAAGTGTAATTGTATTGTAAGCCACATTATTAAACGTTGGCAATTAAATTAAATAATAATAATGAAAATAAACGAAAATAAAAAACTGACATAAAGTTAATAAATAATAAAAAATATATATATCAATTATTAAAGTAAACTAAGCTAAGCCTATGTAAACATACTTGTTCTCGTTCAATCGTTATCTATCAACAGAAAAAATAAAAAAACATAAAGCTCCTATTGTAAAATCGATTCCATTAATTTTTACTCAAATATGCATTTTCCTTCCAAATATGTATGTATATCATAAAAAAAACATTATATTGTAGTGAAAACGTACGAGCCGAATTGGTGGGAAATGTTGCTTTTTCAAAAATATCAAAGCAGCAAACTTCCTCACGTATTTGAAACTAAAAAATATATATGATTTTGTATAATTAAGGCACGCAAGCGCACGCGAAATTTCAAAATTGTCCTAATATTTTGTCCTCTGTTTGCAAAAACAAAAAAAATGTTTGAATCATACCTACATACATATTAAAACTATTATAACTTATTAAATCATAAAATAAATAAAGAAAAAAAAAAAAAACAAATATGAGAAAATGAAACGTTAATATGAATTATGCAACAAATTATTAAACGAAAATAAAATCGACAAAATTAGAGTTATTCTTCATAAACGTTATATACTGCTACATCTTAGGCCTTAGAAGCAAGCTAGCAACCATTAGAACAAATCTATAGAATCTAAACGTTCATTTGAAACTTATTTTTACAGAGCTGCCACTTTCGTATTTCGTAGCTTAAGTGCTAGTAATATTGGTTTGTAATAATGTTCACCTTCTTCAGCCTTTAGGAGCCAATATAACACTAATGCAAACAGGAATTATAGGCTAAAATTTTAATTTCTTGATTTTAAAACTTTCCTATCAATTGTTTAGATCTACCGTTGAATGAGGTTATGATGAAGCGCTGGACAACAGTGTAAACAATGTGTAATTTAATGATATTTAATTTTTATTTTGTTCATGGAATTTTTTAATAATACTAAAATAAAACTTTCATATACTATGCATTACTCGGCTCGCAGTTATTTAAAACAAAAAATGCATATGTTAATTATTTTAATACTATTATGTCACATTCGCAACTCAGCCAACACGTCGAAAGTTCTGCAGGCAATATATCTTCGTGATACAATCAACTATAGACCGCCATAGGCTTATTCTAAAATAATTTTTGCTTCTTTGCCATCAACATAAACTTTTAAGCCATTTCGCAAGCAGAAATCCCGTTTGACATGAGCAAAGAGCAGATCAGTGACTAGGAATATCTAAAAAGACAATAATATATTTATATAATTTCAAATATAACTGTGCATTATTTCCACTTACCTGTCCAGTAGAGAATGCCAACGTTGTGCCAAAGTAAAAATTGGCATTCGCTGAACCGGAATAAATCCATAATTGCCAAAGTGCCGGCATCATTGAAAGCGTAACCACAAAGAAGCAGAAAACCACGAAATTATGCGCCATGACTGCAAGGTAAGAGTTGATGAAATTTCACGATATTTTCTCCTTATAACAGTGAACTTACACTTCCAACAACGACGCCATAGCGGAAGTAGTGCCAAATAGAAACTTACATCACCAACACTGGGATAGGACCGAAATATGGACATCAAAGCAATGAGCACTGTTGCCAGTAATAATGGCTCTTTACGCAATTTGAGCGATAGCGGCACAAGATAAAGGACGGTTGCATTCATTTGGAATGTAATTAGGAACATTGTGCGAAAGTGTTCGAACATTTCAGTAAAGAAGTACCAAAATAGTCCGATATTTGGTTGAAGATCACGATAGAAGAAACTGTAAATAAGAAAACCATTTCATATTTTATCAAACAAATATTCTTATGTCAAACAAATACTCACATAAATCCTAGCGTTGCATCTAAGAAGCTCCAACTATTTATTAACGCATAGTTAAATCCAGTGATAGCAAAACAAGCTGAAGCAAATAGTGCCAGGATGCTAATAGAGCTCGTGAATGTATTTTTCGATCGTTGAGTGAATACTAATATGACTGGTGCAATTAATACAACGGGATATAAATTACGCATTGTTTCCAGAGCTAAACACACAATGCAAGGTAATAAATGCCGCTTGACAAGAAAATAGAGTGTTAACGCTATCAGGAAATTGCTGAAAACTGTCGATGTTAGACCAGCGCAACTCAGTAGTGATAGTGGATTGAAGAGATAAGCCAGTATAACACACCGCGGCACTACATTCATATCAGTCGCTTGAACTTGCAATTCCTCCGTGCCAACAGCATATTCAGACGATTCAAACTTTTGCTCAGTAAGTTTGGAACGCACAAATTGTTGTGCCATTTTATAAAGTAGTATTGCTGTCATCAAATCAATCAACACATACAGCAGTGGCACAAAATTTGATATGGAATTGAAAATACGCACTAGTAACACCAAAATCACCGGCAACTCATGCACCACATCGCCCAGGTAGGGATCTATGCCATTTTCGTATAAATAAACTCCCTCCTGAACTGTGTTCAAAATATGTTAGTAAATAAGTAAAGTAATTAATAAATTTCGTTTAAAGCCGCCTTACCACGCTTAAAGGAGTTAATAGGCGTTGACACTTCAACTCTTTCGCCAATCCAGTGGAAGTTTTGCAAATAGTAACGTGTAACGCCTCCAAGTGCAACCAGCAACAACAAACTTTTATCCATATTTGTTTTTTTTTTTTTGTTATTTATGGAGTTCTTCTATGCACCGGTTTAAAATTTTCCGGACGCCAATAAGGAACAAACAAATTCTGATTAGTCGAATTACAGTTGATGTTTTATAAACACCTGCAAAGCAGAGTTGCCGAGTGCATGACATTTTGAATGAACAGCTATGTTCCAGTAAAAGAGAGTTTGTAACATTTTCCGCAAAATCCAATACTGTTGGGTGATGAATTTGCTAGTATCGGACGTTGAGGCGCCGGGGTTGCAGAGGTGAATCATGATCTGAGTGGTCAAAGCATTCATCGGTAGTATTTAAAGGTGAAACAACGAAACCAAGGAAAATTAAACAAGGAGTTCATCATGGTAAGGTTCTCCCCCAATTATTGTTTAATTTCCACATTTCGAAACTCCCACCCCTACCAGAATGAGTTTTCCTGATCTATATGCCGATGATTGCACGATATTGGCGCCTGGCCAAGTTATATATGAAAGTGAACTGCTGTCTCGCCGATCTGCCCCATTTCTTCACTGCAAGACAACTTAAAATACAACTGACGGAATCCTCGGCTACCCTCATCACCAGCCGGGCAAAGGATTTCAGGCTCGAAGTAAATGTGAAGGTTGATGACGTGAAAATTCCGACCAAAAGTATCCCCAAGATTTTCGTAGTCACACTCGTTAGCCTGTATTCCCTCTGGGGTAAACATAAAGAAACTTTGCTGGCAACCTGTAAAGCAATTGGCCAGCCGGTCGTAAACTACGCTGCACCGATCTGGGCGCCGGGGACGAACGCGATGCAGATAAAAAAGTTGTAGGCTTGTCATAACTCTAGACCGTGACAGGAAACCTCCTGATGTCACCAGAGCATCACTTGCACAGCGAAGCATCAATCTATGCTACGAGTTAAGGATCATAATGTTTTGCTGTGCAAGCAGTTACTTTTACGGGAAGTTAAAGTAGGGAGCACCTCAATGGGCACCTAATAGAAGCTGAACTTCCACCTAGGCCCATCAGGAAGGGAGTACTAGAATAAAGGACACAATTCAGCTACACGAGCAACAATCGACAGGACAACATACAGACAAGCTTTGAACGCCATCCACAAGGAATCAATCACAGACTCTCTTCGCTTGAATGGCGTAATCGGAGTTAAACCACTACCCATCGCAGACAACGAGCTCGAGCTGCCTCGAGAGACCAGCGTGACCTTGGCACAACATGGGTCTGGATACTATAGGAGGTTAAACTCCAGACTTATCCAGACTCGATCTCAACATACCGAACGTATGCCCAGCATGTGCAGAGTCTTCGCACCACACCAACCATCTCTTCACAAGCCATCTTAAGCTGTCGTATCTAACCGTCGTCTGGTTCGGCGAAACAGCATGTTGTATACGAATTGGTCTGGAAAATGAGCTTGCTATTCCCGACCGCTCATTACCATTCGTAGTTTCTCCAGACTATGGCGGAAATTGTTGTAAGCTAAAAAAATCCTCAGCAGGATTGGAATCAACCAATTTTCGGTTAAAACTATTTATTTAATCTGGCAGCACCCCGTTTGTTTGCTATAATCTGGCTACTTTTAATAAAAAATTTCCATTGTGAATGGATTTTCACGAAGAAGAAGTTTTATTTACATCGTTCTCCTCCCGTAAATAATTTATTGGCTAATTTAGAAAATTAAATTAATTAAATTCATTGCAATATGAGTGGCGATGCAAGTAATAAACTTCAAGAAAATCAAGTGTTAAATGAAATCACTAAGGATTTTAAAGAAATCACAGAAGATCCAACGCAATTCTTGCTAGTGTAAGTAGTTGTTATGCACGTGGTGCACCAGATAAATACACGAAAACTAAATGTGCTAAAACTTTAATATTTCAGTGTGCCTCCTAAGAAACAGGAAGACATAAAATCTTTACTACAAAAAACATACAAGGCATGTATAGAAAATGATGAAAATAATAAGAAGTCGCCAGAAATACTGCCTGAATTGATTGTGGAGGATATGGATGAAGAACAAATTTGGCAACAGTTAGAGCTGCGCAACAATAGTATTATAAATGTCTTACTTGAAAATACCTCCAAGCTATTGTCAATACGTGAAGAAAAACTGGAAGTGCGTTTGGATGAAAAAGAGAATCAAAATGGAGAAGAGGCATCCGGTGACAGTGATGACGACTCTGAAGAGGATAACATGGAACACGAAGCATTCGACGAAGAAGACGAGGGTGATGAGGAGCAGGAAGAAGACCTTTTTCAAGAACCGAAAGAGATTAAAAAGAAGGGAAAAAAGATGCGATCTTCTGTGGTTGACGATAAATTTTTCAAGTTGAGCGAAATGGAATCGTTCTTAGAAGAGGAAGATGCGAAAGAGATGCGGCGTAATAAAAGAAAGGCTGATGATTCGGCCGAGGCTACATTTGATTACTTTGCAGAAGACTTAGGTGTTGAGGATGAAGACGGGGAGGAGGAGGATGAAAATCCGACCTATAAAGAATTTTTCGATGATGAAGACGGAGAAGAAGAGCAAAAGACAGAAAAAACTGTTGAAAAAGCGCCGAAAAAACAAAAAGACCATTTTAAAGATGAGTCGAGTGACGAAGAATTGGATATGGATGAGTATGACCAAGATGATTCAGAAGGTGAAGATAAAGATAAGGATGAAGATAACGAGCATGAAACAAATGAAAATAAAATTAGTAATGACAACACCACCCAGGATGCCTTACAACCCGCTTCTTCTGGCTCAGATGATACCGAAGATGAACAGGATGAAAAAGTAGACGAACCACAATCTTCATATGAAATACGTCAAGCACGCTTACAACAACGTATACGCGAATACGAAGGAGAAGTACTAGGCGAAAAGCCATGGCAATTACGTGGTGAAGTACATGCTAACAGTAGACCAGCAAATTCACTGCTCGAAGAGCTGCTTGAATTCGAGTCCACCGTGCGTCCAGCACCCATTATCACTGAACAAACCACACGTTGCCTGGAAGACATAATAAAGCAACGCATCAAGGATCAAGCATGGGATGATCCAGTGATCATGTTAAAACCAGAGCCATCACCACATGAATTCCGCAAACAACTGATACTAGAACAAGAGAAATCTAAAGAGTCACTAGCACAAGTCTACGAAAAGGAATATCAAAAGGAATTAGATAAACTGGATCCAAACCGCGCTGATGCGTCAGAGGAAGAGCCAAAGGAGCACAAAGAAATTAAGCAACTAATGCGCACGTTATTCGTTAAATTAGATGCGCTATCCAACTTCCACTTTACGCCTAAACCTGTGGCGGCCGAAGCTAGAATTATAACCAATACACCAGCGGTGAATATGGAAGAAGTAGCGCCGGTTGCTGTTAGTGATGCCAAATTATTGGCACCAGAGGAAGTTTATCGTGGACCGAAGCATGAATTGGTCGGTAAAACGGAACGCGATCGTACGGATAAGAATCGGGAACGACGTAAGAAGAAGCAAAAACAACGTGTTATCAATCGCCTGTTGGACGAGAAGAGCAAGAAGAAACAGGAGTTGGGCATAGCGCCAACGAAGAAAGAGGAAAATGCCAAACTACTAAAGTCGCTGACCAAACATCGCAATGTCGAAAAGGTACACACGCTTGATATTATTTTATATGATATGAAAGCATTTTTAATTTCAATTGTTTAATAATTTTATTTTATTTTTGCATTATTTTTCCTTTACAGTTAAATACAACCAGCGACGATCAACGTGCACTGAAATCATCCAAGTCGTTCTTCTCCAAACTGCAAGATACTACCAGCGTTGCGGGACAAGCTGCCACAGCGGCGAAAGCCAAAAAGCACAAATCTACTGGGAAAACGATTACAGCGAAAAGAGTGAAACTGTAATATTGTATTGTTGTAGACTTTTATTAGTAATAAAAAGTTTATTTTATTATATTACAATTGTGCCTTTGACTTATGAGCGTTTATTCGTATACATATACATTTATGCAGTATATGTATGTACGTCAGCATGCATAACGGGCACGTAAGAAACTGGTAATTCTCTTACAGGATTTAATGAAGACTCTCACATTTCATTCTTTCTTCTTATTTTGTTTCTAATCCTTTTTTTTTTGTTGAATTAACGCACTGTTAATGTGACGTCAACATATTATATTTGTATTTATTTATTCATTTCTAATGTTGTTGTGTAATTTTGTGCTGTGCACAAAGTCACGTGCCTTTGTAATTAGGCTGCGACCACAAAAGGACATACATACATACTAGAACATACCAACAGTACATGATGCGCGCGCCGGTAAACTTCAAACAAGCGTGCAAAGTTATATTTATTAGTATAAAAATATTTGTATGTATGCATGTGTGTGTATATAGTTATAAGTAAATTTTGTTAGGCGGAAATCGACAGGGGGTAACCTTTACACAAAACCGGAGATCAACAACTTAAATGTACATACGAAGATGATACGTGACACGTGTGTGTGTGTGTGTGTGTGTGCGTGAGTGTGTGTTTGTGCATGCCTGTAATGAGAACGTACCGTAGGGGTCTCGAAACTATATGCGCGTGTCATGCAAAAATAAAATTGGACTTGCAAAAATGATATGTTAATAAGCAAGTGCGTGTAAGTATATACAATACATATATATATATATATATATGTGCATATGTACGCAGGAAACCAAGCCTTTATTCATCATTGGCGAATTGAACGCGTGGGCTGTGTGTGGAGAGAGAGAAAAAAACAGAAAATATAACGGATTTCAGTTAAATAGCCCTTGGATTGTACATATTTTATAAAAAAAATTTAAAAGCACATATACAGTGGTGGCCACATAATTAGAAACAACCTTACATAAATTAAATATAAAATTATGATTATGCACTGAGCAACTCTGTGGTGTTTCATTATGAGTTTGAAATTATATATAGTTTTTTTGAATCGCAGCTTGTTTTGGAAAAAGATTCGAAAAATGTCCGTTGGAAACGTGTTAAAATTGTTTTAAAATACTGTTGTTGTTATTGTAACTGCAAAAATATTCCTCAAAGTAATTTTTGGGGTGATGTTGCGGGAGCGACACTACTTGGCCGGATAAAAAATCCGGGTCGTTCCGGCATAAAGACTTGACTGTATCGAGAACTATTGGATTTCAGTCGTCTCTTACGACAGGCAAGCCTTACCGCGGAAATGCAGAGGCTTTAAAATACTGATTTTAAGTATATTTTAGAGTACTTATTGAATTTGCGTAAAAAGTCGGTGACATTTCAGTTTAGTTCAGAAATGGGTAAGAGGAAGTCATGTACTTCACAGATAAGAAAACTGATTGTACGGTGGCAGCTAAGAAAATATGAAAACGCGAATCTAAACTCCGTTGACTGCGGTATCCTTCTACTCTCCATTGATATCTCTTTAGCTTGTTTAATTCGCCTGCTGTGCTGTGTTCAGGAAACGTGTGGTGGTGGTGGTTGTCACGAAAATGAACAAACGAAACGGAGACGTACGCGAAAATGTAAAAGTGCATGGTGATAGTGCTCTTAGTCGTGCCCAGGTGTTTCGATGGCATAAAGGAGGGGCGTGAAAGTGTGGAAGACAAGGCGGAGTTGATAGCCGTGGAATCGTCCACAAATAATTTGTTCCACCGGTTCAAACCGTAAATCAAGTCTACTATCTTCAAGTACTCGAAAGATTGCGAGAACGAATCCACACGGTATGCTCAGACATCGCTCGTAACTGGATCCTTCATTACGACAACGCGCCGTTCCACACGGCCCTCAGTGCGTTCCAGTATTTGGCCTCTAAAGGGATCGCTGTGTGGCATCAATCACCTTATTAACCCGATATGCCGCCCGGTAATTTTTTTCGTTGCCTAGAATAAAATCGGTGGTCAAAGGAACCCATTTTGAGTCCATTGAGGACATCCAGACAGTCAAAGCATTCCAGAAATGTTGCGAAGCATGGAAAACGCGCTGGAATCGTTGTATAGCTGCCCAAAGGGACTTCTTTGAAGGGGAGGGCAGAGTCGCATTACATAATTGTCACATCTCTCATGTAAGAGATTCTCCAAACAAATTGTTGGGCACGTCTTATGGTTTGGAAACAGTTAAGTATGATACGGACTCAATTATGGTTTGAGGTGCATTTTCCTGACGCGGTGTGGATCCAATTGTACGTATTGAGGGGAAATGTACCAATTTAAATATAAAGCCAAAATATAGCGGAACCATTCTGTTTTGAAAAAATGCCGGCTCCTTATATTTTCCAACATAATAATGACCCGAAGCCTACATCATAATCAGTGAAAGGATGGCTTTTGGAGAATAATGCTCTATCGTCCATATAGTTTTGATCCTGAAAAGAGATCTAAAGGGCAAAAAACCGCTAAATATTAACGAATTATTTTAATTAGGCAAGGAAAGTTGGGGGAACATTCCTACTACAAGGGGTCGAATTTTGGTTGAGTGTTTGCCCAAAATATTAAACAGCGTCATCAAAAATCAATTTTACCCTACCAAATACTAGTTTTATGTATTTATTTTTAATTAAATAAATTTTTCTTTGTTTTTTTTGAGTTTCTAATTATGTGGCCAACGAAATCTTATCATTTTGCTTATTACTTCAACTTTTGTTTAATAATGGAATAACAAAAAAATTTTGTGTTAAATAAAGTATATATGTTTTTATTGTATGTATTAATTGTAATAAAAAGTTTAGAAAACTTAATTTAAATTATTTATCAGTTGTACAACTTTGCTTCCGCCGTTTTTTTCCAAAATTAAAAGCTTTATTACGAAAAAGTGCTTACAGATTATTCAAAGTATCGTCCTTCGCTAGCGACAACTTTCTCCCATCTTTCCGGCAATTTTCGGATCCCGGCTCGAAAAAAGAAGTCCTCTTTTGACGCTATCCATGAAGCAATCCATTTTTCCAATTCTTCGAAGGATTGAAAATGTTGATCTGCCAGGCCGTGTGCCATCGAACGGAATAGGTGGAAGTCAGAAGGGGCGACATCTGGGGAATACGGCGGGTGGGGCAAGACTTCCCATTTCAGCGTTTCCAGGTACTTTTTGACCACTTTTGCGACGTGAGGCCGAGCATTGTCGTGTTGGAGGATGACTTTGTCATGTCGCTCTTGATATTGTGGCCGCTTTTCTTTTAGCGCGCGACTAAGGCGCATCAGTTGCGTTCGGTAGCGATCTCCTGTGATGGTTTCACCCGGTTTTAAGAGCTCGTAGTAAATCACACCGAGCTGATCTCACCAAATACAAATCATAACCTTGTTTGTCTTCGACATCGACATCGTTGAAACCACTCCCGACACGTTCTTTCACTCAGAGCAGCATCATCGTAAGTTTCTGAGAGCATTCGATGCGCTTAAGATGCATTTTTTTTCGAATTGTAACAGAAAAGCAAAACTTCCCGCATATGGCGAGAATTAGGCACATAAACGGACAATTTGTTAGGCACTGTCCACACTCACTTTAAAGGCATTATCATCTATGTATTTCAACCAGCCTCAGCCGGTACAGCCACCGGAAAACGGCGGAAGCAAAGTTGTACACCGATAAAAAAGTGGATAAATGCCGTTTCTAATTATGTGGCCACCACTGTACATATGTATGTACATATATTTTTCACATCCCCAGAAAATGCTGACATTATTTGACGCCCAACAATTTTTAATTAAAAATAGATACATACGAGGGTGACTTTAAATTTGTTTTTGTCAAATCTAAAAATACGAAATCCTTTCAAATTACTTTATTATTGCTGCTCTCCAATTTTAGAACGATCGGCTCAAAAGCAAATGAGAAAACCAAGGATAGCTGAGGGTAGGTCAGTCGAAATTCCACCACCGAAGTAAACAGAAATTCACCGTGTGATTCTACGGATTTCGGCGTATTTACAACCCATACAAATATTCAGTGACTGCCAAATTGCATATGGAATGATTGCACCGTCTTTAAGGACTATTTCTAAGTGGTTCCGAAGAGTTCAGACTGGACTTTTTTCCGTATAGAACGAGCACCGAGAAGGTGGTCCAAAATTTTCCACTAATGATGTCACTGTAGCTCTACTGATTGCCAATAAATAGGGCTTGAATGTCATGGCTGCATCGCGAGTATGAGCCTGTTCGATGGGTACTACGAGTATTAAAACAGGCTTGAAAAGAAGCTCGAGTGAATTTTGCTCAATTTTTCCGAAATAAATTCGAAAATGGTCAGTCTTTCAATTTTAGTAAAATCGTTACTCGGCATCAGTATCTTGGTTCTATAAGTACGACCCAGAAACAAAACAGCAGTCCATGGCATGGAGCCTAAAAGGTGCAAATACACCCGTAAGATCTAAGCATCAAAAATCAGCAGCAAAAGTTGTGACGTCAGTTTACTTCAACCGATCTTAATTCGTGGCTGCTATTCCACTGGCAAAGGGTCAGACGGTAACCGCAAAAGGGTACACCGAAAGAAAGTTTTCAAAAATTTGTTGGAAAACTGAAAGAAAAAGAATTTGCGGCGCAAATTTTTACAGAATGAAAGAAAGAGTATTCTTTTATTGCGTTCTCTGGAATCGAAGAAATAAGTCCAGCACCATATTTCCCGGATATAACACCTTGTGATTTCTGGTTATTTTCAAATATTAAAAAAAAATAAAAGGAGAAGTCTTTAATATCAACGAGGCGCTAATTAATGCGGTTAATTCTGAACTTGATAAGCTTAAAAAGTAAGATTTTGATGACTATTTTCAGAAGTGGATCTATAGGCTTAAGAATCGCATTGAGATCAATGGCGATTATGCAAAGAAGATAAAAATGGACAGGGAAAAGGTTATGAATATTTTTTTCACTATTTCTAAAAAATACATGGCATGAAACAGTTCCATAAAAACCCAAGAAGATTTTTTTTTTGTTTTTTATGCTCAACTTACCGAACTTTTGTTAATCCG